AATATGTTTATCTTGTAAAAAACCTACAAGTAGATATAACTTTCCTTTTCTTCATCCTATTCCAAATGAAATTCAAGTCTTATTCTTGAATAATTGAATATTTTTATCTCCTGTATTCATACATTGTTCTTTAGGAAGAAATTCAGGATATAACGCAATATATACAAAATATAAAACTCTAACTGGAACAATGAATTTTTCAAAAAACATGCGTTCTTTGATATTATATTCTGGAATGATCGGTGCTTATCTTGAAGATAATTCAAATAATTCTAATACTTGGCTTAATAATACTTTAATTCATGCCACAAATTAGTTAAAACAAAATAATCCATTTTTAAAAAATTACTCTCGCCTTTTAAATTCACCTCACTCTCAAATTGCCAATGCTTTCCTAAGAGCTTTTCATCTATCTGATGATAATTCTGCCCCACCCTTTTTATCTAATGATATTATAGTCCCAAATATTAATTTTAACACTGAAATTTACAATGAAGATTATTATTATTCACATCTAATGGCAGAATTTTTCAGAACTCCAAACAATACTTTGCTACTAATATCCGTAAATGATCCAAATTTGGAAGCTTTATTATTTCCTGATTTATTTTCAGATAGAAAAGGACATTATTACCATGATAACCATTCTAGATCAACTTCTGTCTCACAAAAAAACCTATTCTAAATATATTAAACAAAGAACACTCAATATCGATTCACGTTTTAGACTCCATTATAAATGGTTGGCGTGATCATATTTACAATTAGAAAAATTACGCAACAACCAAAATAATCAACGTATATGAAGACAATAACAAGCTGATAAAACATATGGAAACGTTTCCAGTAAAATCAAGTCATGAGGCATAGTAAATCATATGACCCGTAATGTGATTTTACTGGAAACACTCCCATATCGTCTACCAACTGCTGCATAGCTTATTCAAATCTCTAATTTATTCTAATAAGCTAATAATAGACAAATCATTAACTATTACTTTACCAACTTTCATTCGAACTGGTGAATCTTATTTTCATGAAAAACAGCATCACGTCAATACAATAATTTCCTCATATAGATTACCTTCAATTTTTCTTACACTGATAATGGCCGAAAGTCATTGGAAACACTTACATAAAATTTTAAAATCAACAGATAACCACCATACAATTCCTACAAACAGACTAGTATATACTACATTACATTTTATACATTGCTTTCAGCAACTCAAAAAGCATTGTTTAAAAAATTCCTATCATTCAAATTGGGGTAATGTAACTCATATTTTTGAAAGAGTAGAATTTCAAAATCATGGTGCTGCGCATATACATAGCATATATTGGATAACAAAGTCAATTGAACAAATGATTGATAAAAATATCATAAGATCTGACTTACCAGATCAAATTTTAGAATCAGAATTATATGCAAAAGTAAAATCAAATCAAATACACACTTGTAATTCAAAATATAGAGGTCCACTGCTTTAGGACATACTTGCAAAATAGGATTTTCCCATTCCTTTTCATCATGTACTCATTTTAATAATGAAACTCAAACTTACATTTATAAATGTCTTAAACCAGAAGATCAATGGGTTGTTCCTTATTATCCTCAAATTTTATTGATTTGGGATGCACATATGAATATTCAATATGTAAGCTCTCGAAAATTAGCTTTTTATTTGACAAAATATATAGTAAAATCAGAACCATCTCACGTTTTCAATATTAAAGAAGGTAATAAATTTAGAGAACATATTGTAGTCTGAAGATTAGATACTATGAAATTAATATTATTGATACTAGGTGAAACTATTTGTAATTCTTCTTCCTCTGTTATGTATCTTACCACTGATTCTCTGTCAACTAGACCTAAAGCAATACACCCTATTTACCTAATCAATGAAACTGACAATAATCCATATTGGACAAATCATATTGAAAAATATTTTGACCGACCATGTGAAAAAGAATTTAATAACTTAACATATTCACAATATTTTCAAAATTATGAAATATTCATTTCCAGACTCACAACACAATCTTTCATTCACATTGACAGATTGGACAATTATATAATTAAAAGAACTACTTTAAAATTAGTTCGACAATTCGATTTGATTTAATTAAATTCAAATTAAAGAGTTATTTTTAAACTAATTTAAATTAATTTTTAATTTGATTCGATCAAATTCAAATTAAGTATTCAAATATTTGATTTTATAACAAAGCTATTTTAAGAGGTTCAGAAGTGACTTTTATTAAGAAAACTATAATAATAAATACTACTGCTGCTTTAAAGTTATTATTTTACTAAAAAAAATATAGTGAAAATTATATTTACAGGTTCAGAAACATTTTTTACTAAGAAAAATTAGTAAAAAAATGTATCTGTATTTCAGAGACAGTTTTTACTTTAAAAAATTAGCAAAAAATGCCATTACAGTTTTAGAAATATTTTTTTTATTAATAAAATTGTTTTGAAATCATGATGTTAATTATTACTAAATTTTCTTAGTAACCAAAATCATAATAATAGTTATTACTAAGATTTCTTTAGTAAAACTTAAGCTATAATAGAGATTATTACAAATTTTCTTAGTAAAACTAAAGTTGCAATATTGTTTTATCAAGTTTTCTTAGTAAAACTGAGACTATAAAGTTGTTTTACTAAAATTTTATTAATAAAAATTCATCTATTATTATATTTACTTTATAAAGCTATTTTTTTAGTATTTATTACTAATTATTTTCTTAATTAAATTTTTAGAATAACATTTATTTAATATATTATTATATAAATTAAAAAAAAAATTTATATTTGATTTGATTTGATTTGATTATATTTGATATAACTTAATTTAATTTAATTAAATTTAATTAAATATTTAATCCAATTCGATTTAATATAATTCAATTTGAAAAATCAAATTAAATTCAAATTACTTTAATATTTGATTTGATTCAATTTTGAAAAATTCTATTATATATCTAATATATTTATTTTTAAGAATATTTAATACTAATTTAACCTTTTTATAATATGCTTTTATTTATTATTTATTTTAAAAAGTAATTAATGTCATTAATTCTATTATATTGATATGATTGATATATAAAATTTATTTAAGTAATTACAAACTATTTCTACATAATATAGTGTTACTAAAATAAAAATTTATAAATTATAAAAATTAAATATAATAAAAATATATAAATATGAAATAAATTCTAAATATAGATTTTAATTAAATTTATCTATTTAAAAAACTAAATTAATATATTAAATAAATATGTATAATTTAATTTATTTTTTCATTTGTAATAATTAAATTTTCTATTAATTTAAAAAGATATATGTTAAGATTTTTAAAATATTTTAAATTTTACAAATTTATAATTAATATAATAATTACCAATACTTTGACTAATTTCTAAATTATTAATTTTATAATTTAGAATGTCATTTAATTTTTCAGTAAAATTTAATAAATTACTTGTATAATATTTTTGTGAATGAGATTTTATAATACTTTGAATATTATATTGATTTTGTTTTAATGCTTTATCAGCTTTATAAAAATCAATCATATTATCTTTATATTCTTTATCAAAATTTTTATTTTTAATATTTTTATACCAATTTTCAATAATATATCTAATTTCTGATGAATTTGGTCTTTTTAATGGATTTATATCCCAGCATTTTTCCATTAAATTTATATAACATTGTGGAGTATTTTTAATAATTTCTGGACGTTTACCTTGACAAATATTTAAGCTAAGTTGTAAATCATAAGCTTCATTATTAAATGGAATAATTCCAGATATTAATTCCCACATAATCATAGAAAAACTATATATATCACTAGATAAAGAATAAGGATGACCTCTTAAAACTTCAGGTGCAACAAATGGTAAAACACCATAAATTTCATTATTTTTAGATGATTGAAAATAATTTACAGGTTTACATAATCCTAAATCACTAATAGATAAAAAATTATTTCCAATATTTAAAATATTACCATGATGAAAATCACAATGAATAAGATTTTTTTGATGAATTTCATCAAGTCCACTAATAATATCATATAATTGTAATAATTTAATTATCCATCTATCCTTAACTATTTTTGATAAATTTTTTCTTAAATTACTATTTTTTGCATATTTCATTACTATCATATAATTTAAAGTATTTGGATCTTGAGTAAATCCATATAATTGAATTAAATATTCACTTGAATATTCTTCTAATTGACTATAACATTTATAATGATTTTTCCACTAAAAAAAAATAAAGATTCATTTAAAAATTATTATTTAAAATTAAAATTAATTATTAATTTCATACCTCATTTAAAAATTCCTCATTTAAATTAGATGAATTATTAAGACTTTTAATAGATATATTTCTTTTATTAATTCTAATCCATTTATTATATTTATATGAATAATATTTAATAAATCCATCTATCCAAATAGCTTTATAAATAATACTAAATCCTCCTTGATCAAGATACTCTATATTTTTCAAATTATTATAAGGAATCCATTCTAAAATTTGATCTTTATTTTGTGCATTCAGTTGAACTTCTTGAATAAATTTGTCAATAAATTTATTTTTACTGGTCCAATTAGAAAAATTTTGTTGAAATAATTTAGAATTACATTCTTTACACCATTTATATCCAGTATTTTTTTTATTACAATTTAAACATATTCCTTTCATCTGTAATTTTATATAATTTTGTATTATTATTATTATTTTTTATATCTTTAAACTTTAAATATATTATACTTACATGTATTAATAATTTTATAGTATATTTTGTATTAATTATTTTAGTATATTAAAATTAAAATATATTATAATATATAATTAAATATTAATAATCAATAAAAATAACATACCAACTATCAAGTTATTAATTATCATATATATTTTTGTAAATAAAATAAATTATATTAAAAAGCACAATTAAATATAATAATAAATAAAAATAACTTACTATCTATTATTTTATTAAATATTTAAATTTATTTAAAATAAATAATTTAATTAAATTTATATTATAATATAAAAAAAATATATAATTTATTATTAATAATTAATAAAAAAACTTACTATCTAATATTTTAAATATAAAATTTATAAAATTTAAATAAGTTAAATAACTTTACAAAAAATATAAAAATTAATATTAAATAACTTACAAACTAAATGATCTAATATGTTTTGAAGCAAAGAATTAAAATTATATTATATAAGAAATATTAATAATTAATAAAAATACATACTGTCTAAACTGTCTAATAGTAATATATTTTATAAAAATAAAAAAAATTTGTTAAGTTTAAAATATATAAAATAATTAAATACTAACAATCAAAAATAAAACTTACCATCTATTTATTTAAATAGAATTTTTTAATTATATTTAATTATAATAAAAAAAGTAAATTAAATACTAAAAATAAAATATTATAAAAATAACTTACCAACTATTGTATTATTAATTATTAAATTTTTTATTAATAAAATTTAATTAAGTTTAAAATTACCAAAATAAAATTACTAAAATAAAATATATAAATAAATACTAATAATTATAAAAATAATTTACCATCTATTATATTATTAATTATTGCATTATTTAAATATCATTTAATTAAATTTTAAATTCAATTAATAAATAGTTAAAATAATAATTTTAGTTTAATTAATTATATTATAATCAAAATAAAAATTAATAAAATAATTTTAAAATTTTAAATTATTATTATTATTTTTTAAAATAGTTAAATATTTCAAAAAACATATAAATTAATACTAATAATTAATAAAAATTACTTACTCTCTAAATATAATAAATTTTATTAAATAAAATTTAGTTAAAATTAAATTATAATATAAAAAATACAACTTAATATTAGATTACTTACTTTCTAATTATAATATATTTATTAAATATAATTTTAGTTAAATTGATATTATATTATAAAAAAATAAGTATAATTAAATATTATCATAAAATAATTTACTCCCTAATAATATAATTGCATTTAAATAATATTATAATCAAATATAATCAAATATAAATAATTAATAAAAATGATTTACAATCTAAATTATTAAATATTTTTTTAAATAAAATTTAGTTATATTTGATTTATATTACCAATAAAATATAATTAAATACTAAGAATAATAAATAACTTACAATCTAAATTATTAAATATATATTTTTTTTAATATATTTATTTATTAAGTTTTATTAATATTATTATAGTTAAAGATATAATTTAATATAAAAATTAATAAAAATAACTTACTTCCTTTAATATAATATTTTGTTAAATAAGTTTAATTTAGTTTAAATAATATTATAATAATAAATATAAATAAATACTTATAATTAAAAAAAAAACTTACTTTCTAAAATTTATATATTAAATTTAGTAAATTTAAATTAAATAATAAAAGTATAATTTAATACAAATAATTGATAAAAATTATTACTTCCTATAATAATAAATTATTTTAAATAAAAATTTAGTTGTTTTAAATTATATTACATATAAATATAATTAATATAATAACTTACTCCCTAAAAGTAATATATATTTTTTAATTAATAAATTAATTGTATTTTAATTATATTATAATAAAAAATTTAATTAAATAATAAAAATAATTTACAATCTAAATTATTAAAATTGTTTTAAATAAACAATTTAATTAAGTTTAAATATAATTTATTAAAAATATAATTAAATACTAAATATAACTTTACAATCTAAATTATAAAATTTTTTTTAATATTTAGTATGAATTTAAATTATATTATAATAAAAAAGTATTACTAAATAACTTACTTTCTAATAATATATTTTTTAAATAAGAAATTTAATTAAATTTAAATTATATTAAAAAAATACAAATAATTGATAAAAATAACTTACTTCCTAAAATAATATATTTTTAAAATTTTAGTTGTATTTAAATTATATAATAGTAAAAAGTATAATTTAATACTATCAATAAAAATAACTTACTCACTAATAATATATATTTTAAAAAAAAAATTAATTAAATTTAAATTATATTATAATGAAAAATTATAATTAAATATTAATAATTTAAAAAAAACTTACTTTCTAAAAGTAATATATTTTTTAAATAAAATATATAATTTTATTATTTAAGGTATAATTAATATTAAATTAATAAAAATAACTTACCATCTATTATATTATTATAATTATTAAGTTTTTTTTTTAAATAAAATTAATTGAATTTAAATTGCAATAAAATAATGAATAATTAAATAATAAAAATAACTTACCATCTATTGAATTATTTATTTAAATTTTTTTTATAAATAAAATTTGTTGAATTTAATTTATATTATAATACTAATAATTAATAAAAATAACTTACCATCTATTATTTATAAAATATTAAATAATTGTTTAAATAAAAAATTAAGTCTTTAAATTACATAATAGCAAATGTATTTATTAATAAAAAATAACTTACTATCTATTATTTAATTAAATATTATTTTGTTTTTTTAAAACAATTAATAATTATATTGATTTTACATTATGATAATTAAATATCAATTATCAAAAAAATAATTACTATCTAAATTTTTTAAGTAAAAATTTAGTTGAATCCAAATTAAAATATAGAAAAAAGTTCAATTAATTAATTAAAATAATTAACTTTCTGCAATATTATATATAATTTAATATTTTTATTTTAAATGATAGTAAAGATTAGTTAATTTAAATTTATAATATAACTTACGTTCTATAATATTTAAATAAAATTCCAAGTTTAAATTATTATAAAAAGTATGATCAAATATATATACTTAATAAAATATCTTACCGACTAAAATGCAATTAAAATTTTTTTAAAATAAATTATTTATTTTTAAATTGCAAAATCAAATTAAAATAACTTACTCCCTATGGTATTATAAATCATTAAATCTTTAATTAACATTTTAAATGATGAATTAAAATTAAATGTCTTACAATCTAAGTATAATCATTAAATTAAATTTTGTTTTTAAAAAAAGTAAAAATTAAAATTAAATATATTATTATTTGACTTAACAAATAGATAAATGTTCATTACCATATAATTCCCTTAATGTAGGGGCATCAGGAACATCCAAAACTGGCTCTATTTATTTTAAGAACAATTTTGGAATTAATTACTAAGATTATAGCAGAATAATAATAATATTTAGATAATTTATAAATGTTTTTTTCTTTACCATCTAATACTTCGATATTTGAATAAAAATTGAGTATAATTATCAAATTATAATACTTTAGAATTATTATATATCTGCTATACATTTACCTTCATTACTCAAAACTAGTTATATATTTCAAATTTATTAATATTTTTAGTAAATAAAAACATAATTCAATATGATAATTATTATTAAATTCACCTTTATTACTCGGAGTTAATTTTACATTACAATTTATCGTGGTATTGGTTAATTTTAATTATTTATAGAAATTATTGTATTTACCTTCATTACTTGAAACAGGTTCTAAGTTGAAATTTAAATTTTTATTGAACAAAAATGAGTATCATCAACGAATTACGTTATTTAAATGTGGTTAATAATAAACGATATTACCTTTTATTTCTTTTAATGAAGATTCTTTAGTATCAGAAGTATCAGACGTTGGCTCTAAGTGAATTTGTTTTATTTTATAACAAAAAATTTTTAGAATATACTCAAATAAACTCGTTATAGGCACGTTAAGCTTCATGTGTTTTAAATTCTTTTAGGTCTTTTATTACCTTTAATACTTTCGGACATTTTTATAAATTTATCAGAAAAAAAAATTTTTTTTATTTCCGATCATGCAAGTATGACGGCATATATTGTTTGATGAAGATCTTACCGCAGTATGTGACGCATTTTTGTCTTTTCATTTTAGTTTATTCTAGGTTATTTGATTGGTGTAAGTGCTTTCTTTTTTTTTTTTTAATAAAAAAAAGTTGTATATAAATAAAATTTAATAACCCTTTTTTAGGCGATAATTTCAGTTGTGGTATCCACCACAAAAGCAGTTTCTTTTTTTTAAAAAAAAATTAATTCTCCAGTTACTGGTTGAAAGATATATTATCTTAGCCACTCAGTTTTTTACTTTGGCAACGATTGGTTTTATTAATTTTAATAGTAAATTTTCCGAAACGGTATATTTTCTAAGTTCATATATTATTTTCATTTACCGGTAAATGAAGAGCATCTTTTCACTTGCAAATATTTTTGCTGCGGATGTAATTTCTTTTTTTTTAGATTCTTCAGTTGTGACAATATTGATAATTGGTTGATTTATTTTTCATTTCTTTATAATTTTGCAGCTGCGATGTGTTACCTCCAAAGTTCTGGTGAGTTTAAGTGTTACAAAGACGAAGGCGATATTTTATAAAGGTGAATGGCAAAATTATATTAAACAAATTAATGATGAAAAAGGTACAAAGAATTATTAAAAAAATTAGTAAAATAAAAGATAAATTGATAAATTAATTAATAATTCCTCAGTCCGCAATAGGCATTAAGTGAAGGTATTCAAATTCTTTTATCTAAACAAAAGACAAAAACAATTTATAAAAAATATAGACAACTTTCTAGTCCCAAATTTATGATGATAAACATTTCAGTCCGGTGATAGGGGGTGGTAAATAATTTTGTATTAACTAAAAAAAACCTGAATACATATGAAAAAAATGAGAACCTGACAATTTTGTAATTTAAATGATCAGGTCAATGTAAAAAAACTTTAGCCAAACTTTTTGAAGAAAAATCTTTCCAATTTGATGAATTTTTGAATTTATTGTTCTGATGTTAGGTGCCTTAAATTTTTTGGTATACACCTTTTAAAAAGAGTTTGAATATATGGGATGGGGCCTTTGCAATAGAAAGGGGGAAACTGCCGGAAAAATCAAAAATGAGTTAATGCTAAATATTTCAGCCTAAAAATCATATTTGGCATATAAAAGCAAAATTAATTTTTCCCGGCAGTTCCCCCTTTCTATTGCAAAGGCCCCATATATCTTTTTTTAAAAAATTTTAAAAAGATACATGATTCAAATACAAAAATTTTTGAGTGATTGGGTTAAAGTCCAAACGAAGATAAAATAAAAGTTTATTATAAAAGTTAATTGCAAGATAAAATTGTATATTATTTTTTGGTATTAATATTATCTTTAAAATTCGAGTCGAATCAGACAAGAATTGGGATAAAAATGTTCACAACGTAACCCTTACTGACTGAAATTATCTATATCATCGCGTTTGTCCTTTTTTGCAATCTTTGCAAAGTAAATGTAATTAAGTTTTTAAAAGAATAATTTCATTACATTTCATCATTATTCTTTTGTATTTTTGTTGGACCTGTATTTTCTTCAAAACATCAAAATAAATCAGTTCTGTTGGCAAGTTGAAAAGGTAATTTTTGGTTAAAAAAAATGACGAAAATAATTTTTTTTTGTTATAATAATATAATCAATACTACTTCTACCTTGTCTATAATTTAAAATTACCAAAAGACAACCAAGCTAACACATTTTTAATGATTATTTTTAGGATTGCCAATTACCTTATAAAGATTTATAATGAAAAATCGAAAGTTGTGTAATATGATGAAAACGATCAAAATACCATATAGTATTGTTCCTACAAATATTAGAAAATTTAAAGACAGAAAATCAACTTTGTTTTTTTTTCTAATAGCATATATAAATAAAAAATTGATAACGTCACTAATTATTTGTAATAATGTTATTTTCTGTGAATTTTCATTTAGCACAATCATTATTGTTCCCAAAGAATAAAAATAATTTTCATATTACAATTTATGATTACGCGATCGATCATTCATTTAAAGCCATCACAAGGTAACACTAGTATAAAATAAACACGCAATGCGATGCGTATTTACAGTACTGCCCATTTTATAAAATAATGTTGTATATAAAATTTTATCAATAAATATGAGTTAAGAGATTCATTTCTTTACATTTTTTTTCTTTACTTCAAATCAATCTTCAACCCATTGTATTATTTAATCGAATCTCAACATTGTGATTCTTCCCAGAGTGAGTTAACATAATGATATCTCTATTTGTATGATCAATTGAAGCTATAATTCTGATCTTCTCATTTAGGCTAACCCTTACGAAAGATATACTAGTGTGTATTCATTAATCTTTATTTAAGAAAATTTTAAACTAATCGTTAAATTTTTATTTTAATATTAATGACAGGCTCGAACTATTCATTAACATCGTCAAATCAACATTCAACCGCGGGAATTTTCCTAATCAAGCTTTGATGATCTCTAAATCGGAGTCTATAATTCATCGATTAAAAAACGAATATCCGAACCTTACAACATTAATGGAGTATAATAGAGAAGGTACTATAGGATTTTTGAAGGCCAATGGTGGTTTGTTTCCTTCTCCCTATCTTATCCCTCATACGGGCAATAATAATTACAAGGCGTGGTCAGATTATAAAAACGCCATTGAAAAATATTTTGAAACTATTTGTGAAAGGCGTTAAAGCCATAGATCCGCAAAGCGGCGTAGAAAGAAAGTTCAAAGAAGAATTGAGACAAGCAAGAAAATTATTAACTAATGAAATACATGATACTCATTTCATCCGCTTTCCATATTGGCCCACTGTAGAAGAAGGTGAACAAGAAAGTAGTGTCGAATTGGATACTGGTAGCGTTTATGATACTGGTGCTTACTCATTGGTATAGAATTGTCTAGGCTGAGAGATAAAAGACCTCAAGCCAATAAATATATAGTAATCACTTTCATCCATTTTAGTTCATTGAATGATTTTAATCACATGATCTTACTGTAATATTAATAAAGAGTTTTTTAAAAAACAAATACATGAAATTGATGAATTTGAGACCCTATTTAGTGATTAGAGAGATAAAATACTACAAATTGCAAAAAAAATATTTGTTGAAACGAAGACACGAGTTTCTAAGACAAGTATAAAGAGCGCTTATCCAATGCATGTGCATGTATTAACTAACAATAATGTTTCCTAGGAACTGAAGAGCGTCTGCGCCACTACAAAATTTGACCGTCATTTTGCATAATTTCGTAATTTCTTTTTTTCTTCTTTATAAATTATAGGTAATTTTCGTCCAGAAAGAAAAGAGATTGTAGCAGAACCATAACGGATGACAGAGAGGCTTATAATAGATATAAAAAGATTTAATATCGTTAAACTTTTAATTGAGAATTTTTTTTTTCATTTTGGGAAACCGAGAAACTTCTGTGCTGACAAATTTCATATCGACAGTAATTTAAATTTCTACACAGTAACACTACTTGTGATATGCCACTACACCTAGTTACATAATTATTTCTTATTATTTTGCGGTGGACTTCTACCTAGCATGGGAGTTCTTTTTAATCACATTTTTGGAGAATTCTAAACCGAAAAGACAACTTACCGATCTTCTTTTTGCTTCCAATTGGAATTTACATTCATTCAAAATCATTTAGCTAGTTACTAACAACACTAGCATAGCATAGTTACTTTTTTAGACCAATATTTCATCAAGAGACCACACCCTATTTAGAGGTTCATTAAAAAAATTTATACCGTCTAGTATCTATCAGCAGTTCGACGTGCTTTGCCAGTTCAGATCATTCCTCTACTGCCTACTGTTCCAAATTTAGAAATTTAGAAATCGTAACATATTTAATTACAAATAAGAAGATTTTATATCAATTTTCTCCATTTATTAATAACACTTTAATCTCAATATAATTTTTTAAAAAGTCTATTTATATTTATGCTCAAATGTTCCCATTTACATAACGGTAGTTAATTTTGCGGTACTTGCGTGATGACAATCATCTCTTTTATTGAAATAAGGTGATTTTGTTTAAAAGGAAAATATTTTATGTTTAACCGTTGTAAATTGCTTTGAAAGTTATTTACACAATTATCTTATTGAACGTGATAAAAAATTTTACTCCTTTATCAATATGTTAAATTATGCTAGGATATTATAATATACTATATTATTAATTACGTCGCCTACCTATCCATCAAAATAATATTTGTTATACATATAGTATTAACTTGTAAATAGTTGAAAATTGAATAAATTTATGATAACTAACTTAGACAAAGAAAAGTATTATATGACACTACAAATATGAATACACGAAATGGACATCCTAGGAAAAAAGCCTTAGCCAAAAAAATGGTACGGGTGACACGGTCTGGGGTAGTGTAAACGGATGGTTACCTTATATAAAATAAATTATGAGGAGACCTTAGGTACACCCCTTTCGTCCCTGACTTCGGTACCAACGAATCTACGGGTTAATTACCTGCCCGGCACACTATACAAAAAAAAAAAATAATAATCACACGATCACCCGGGTCGTGTAATCTGACCCGACGAGTTGATTTAATTTAGGTCTCTGGTCAATACCCCGGGTCCACCCAACTTGTTCGGAGTACTAAGTGTGGCATTCGTTACATGTAGCTTACGAGGAAGTAGAGGAATGTGTACTAGTACTTGAATAAGTCCGTTTTTTTGCATAAAAGACATTATTATAGCGATTGCCCAACATGCTGAGATTTTGATCAAAATTAACCGCCGCTCCTATTTTAAAAAAAAATTTACTTTTTCTTTATCTAAGAGTTTCCAGGTGAAATTGTTGGTTTTTTTTTTTGTTTTGATAACACCTTAGTTGTTTATTCGTTCAAATTATTATTTGCTTCTATTTTTTTTTTCTATTCAAGTTTCATAGATTAATTTTTTTTATGTTCATTATTCGCCTATACTTTTTGCCTTTACTATTTTATTTTTTTTGCTTAGGAAAAATGTAAGCATAATAATAACCAATTGTTCTTTCAGGAAGAAATAAAAAAGAATAAACTTAATCTCATCACTAGCAAAATCTCGATTGTTTATCACGGTATTTGCCATTTTTTGATTTGCTCAAAAAGGTATAATATTCACTTTATACGCTGTAATATTTAAAGACTTTATACACGGAAGGAAGTCAAGAACAACGATCTATCCGCTACCACTCCTGTCGTATAATAGTATTGTACGCGATCCTACCGTAATCGGAGCCCAAGAAAAAAAAAGAACCGATAAAAATGATCAAAAAAAAATAATAAATGTAACGGTTTACCTCTTGCCTTCGCCCTTCACGTTTTCTTTAGTTGAATCGTTTCACGGCCTATATTGTTTCTGTGAAAAAATCTTTATTTTTATTATTGATCTAATCTGATTTACGTCAATCGTATGCATGTAGTTAAAAAATAAACTAACTTGAATATTTAAAGTCCAATCAGGCAAAATTATTAGCAAATAACAAAAATTTTGGCATATGTAAAGATAAATTTAGCTGTTTGAATAACGTAAAATGTTTTTATTTCTAAACCAATAAATACAATGATATTTTTGCTTGATCTTAAAACTTAACTTAAAGCGATTTTGAAATATTCTAACATTACTCTAGTATAATATACGATTCTATTATAACCGGTTAAATATCTTTCACCAAAAGTCACATAAATAATGCAACGCCAAAACTTGAAAATCGCAGCATAATTTTTTTCATGTGATCAAATCAGAATAAATTATATATACTTTAATAATGTTTGATTCGGGGAATTCAATAATATAATTTATGATTAAAAAGTTACATTGATATGTGAGCCATTGTAAATACTAGTGCTCCGAGCCGGTCGAATCGACCCGGGTCATTTGACCAGACTCGAGAAAAAATTCGAGTCGGGACTATCATCTTATGTCACGAGTC